TGCACCTCCACCATGGCCTGTGAAAAGTTTTAAAACATGCAAAGGAATACTAAGTATTTCTGGATATACACAGCAGATTTACAAAAGATACAAATTCACTCATGGGAGTGACAAGTGTACCGTTTAAGATGATTAAGACTGAGCCGGAGCCTGCAACTTGGTTGGAATCGGGGGCCTCGCCATTGCAGGGGCCATAATAGATATGGATGGACTGTCCTGCCACCAAGACCACTGTGCCATCTGGGCCCTGGGTGCTGCCCTGGGCCATGTCTGGGTCCGTGGCCCTATAGCAGCCAGGGTCCAGATTGACATATGTGGCTCCTGTTGCCACCAAGTGCCATGAGGATGCCCGGAGTCAGGTCAGCCACCTGAGTCCAGGTTGGTGTCCGAGGGCCAGGATGCATCCAGATCTGAGTGGCCTGCGCTGCTACTCAATGTCTTGGTGACATCTGGGCCAGAGCTGCAGCTGAGGGCCATGTCAGGGTCTGTGGGCCTACTGCAGCCAGGGTCTATGCTGATGTCTGATTCACCTGTTACCATCAGACGACATGAAGACACTTGATCGAGATCAAGGGCCATGTGGGTGTCCCAGGGCCATACTGCCTCTGGGGCAGTAGTGATATCCAGATCCAGCCACTGTTGAGGACCATGTTGGGGTTTATGGTTCTACCGTGGCTGGGGTCTGTGCTGAAGTCCAGGTCCTACATTGCCACCAAAGGTCACATAGAGGCCAAAGGTTAGGGCTAGAACCATTCCCACCTGAATGGCCAGTCCCTCTACCCAAAGCCAGAATGTCGACCTGGCCCAAGCTACTGCCAAGGGCCATGTCTGGGTCTGTGGTCAAGTTACAGCTGGAGTCTGTGTGGATGTCCGTGGCTTGTGTCGCCTCAGGAGGCCATAGATGTGAGATGAAATCAGAGGACCATACTGAGCTGCCCATGCCCTTCCCTGGCCCTGGGAAAGCTGGCCTTGCCTCTCACTGGACACTACAACAAGAGAGCTGGCCCCTGCATGCTGGAGAGATAGTCCCCACCCCTCACCACAGGCCAGGGTGAACTGACCCTGAGGGCATGCATGTAGAGGAGCTGAATCCACCCCCTTGCCTGAGGTAGGTGGGCCCAGGGACCCAGGACTGACCAACTCGGCTACCATCCAGGCCCACAGCTGGGCCTTGGGTTGATCCGCCCTAGCATCTACCCCATCTCGGACCTGCTGGAGCTCAAGAGGGGACAGGTCCTGTGGAACGATACCCACAGCATCTCCATGACTCGTGGCAGCCACTGGATATCCCAGAGGAGTTCCGGTGAGGATCCAGTGATGATGGTGTACCAGAAACCAGAGGCCTTGAACCAGGCCAATGACTGATTGCGATAAACATTTGCCAGTAAAACTGCCGGGGCAATGAGGTACACTATGTGGCAGACTGAAGCCTCCAGTGCCCCCAGGACGAGTGAGGAGGTGTCGGAGAAGCAGGAAAGAAGGAGACGCAAAGAGATTTTTCACCGGGCGGTGGTGGCGCACGCCTTTAATCCCAGCACTCGGGAGGCAGAGCCAGGCGGATCTCTATGAGTTCGAGACCAGCCTGGTCTACAGAGCGAGATCCAGGAAAGGCGCAAAGCTACACAGAGAAACCCTGTCTCAAAAAACAAACAAAAAAAAAAGAGAGAGAGAGAGAGATTTTTCTGTTGAAGTGGTTTTTGTTTTGTTTTGTTTTTGCTTTTGATGGCTTGTTTTCATACTTTGATTTGTTTCCTTATGGGGGGCGTGGCAGGGATGAGGGGAGGATATGGGGGCACCGGGAGGTGAACAGAATTGGGGTGCATCATGTGAAACCCCCAAAGAGTCAATAAAGAAGTTCTATTTATTTATTTTTTTTATAAAGGATGGTAATAAGAAAATACTGAAATTATGTTCAATTAAATAACATGATTTTAAAACTTTTGTTTTATTTTCGAGACAGGGTTTCTCTGTGTAGCCCTAGCTGTCCTGGAACTCACTCTGTAGGCCAGGTTGGCCTCAGAGAGCCCCCTGCCTCTTCCTCCTGAGGGCTGAGATCAAAGGCGTATACCGCCACCAGGCTCTAACAGTTTTTTTCCCCCCAAGACAGAGTCTCACATTGTAACGAAAGCTGACCTCAAACCTCACAGAGATTTTCCTGAGGCATGTCCCACCACAGGTGGCTTGAGTTATTTGTCAAATTACTTAAACCTTGTTTTTGTCTTTGTCGTTGCTGTTGTTGTTTTAAAGGCTTTAGGCTCTCTGTTTATGCCCCCTGGGAAGAAGGAAAGCCTTTGTGAGCCAGGAGGTCTGTGGCTCTGGCTCACTCGTTAGGGAGGGAACTGGGAAACTGCATCCTGGGGAGAAATAAGCCTTAAATCTTATTGTGGACACCTGGGATATTCTGTCTTATTGGAGTATTAAATCAAGGCCCTTTGTAGACATTGGTTTATGGAGACTAATGAGAGATTACATAAATCCAATTTTGCCCTAAACAAAACAAAGAAACTAAATTTCTAATACTTTAAATGGGATAAACAAAACAGAAGCATTTCTTGTAGAAACTGCTAGTAAGAAGTGACTTATTGAGCTGGGCATGCAGAGGCAGGAGAATATCTGAGTTCGAGGCCAGCCTGGTCTACAGAGTGAATTCTAGGACAGCCAGAACTGTTACACGGAAAAACAACAACAATAAAAAAAAAAAGTGGTTTGTGCTGGGTGGTAATGCAGGCCTTTAATCCCAGCACTTGGAGGGCAGAGGCAGGCAGATCTCTGTGAGTTCGAGGCCAGCCTGGTCTACAGAGAGTTCCAGGACAGGCTCCAAAGCTACACAGAGAAACCCTGTCTGGAAAAAAAGAGAAAAAACGTGGTTTGTTTGTTTGTTGTTGTTGTTTTGATTTGTTGCATTAGACAGAGTCTCACCATGTAGTTCTGGCTGTCCTGGAACTCACTATGTAGACAGCCTCGAACTCACAGAGATCTGCCTGCCTCTGCCCCGCAAGTGCTGGGATCAAAGGCGTGGGCCACTTCTGTTGACTCAGAGTATGTAACTTTTAAAACATTTTGTGTCAGGTGTGGAGGTAGAAGCAAGTGGATCTCTGTGAGTTCGAGGCCCAGCCTGGTCTACAGAGCAAGTTCTAGGACAGCCAGGGCTACACAGTTTTGAAACCCTGTCTCAAAAAACAACAACAACAAAATTTACTAATTGTACCCCGTGGCCCGAGTGCCGGACGCCCACCATTCCTGCACCACTAACCAATCAATTCATTATTTTCCAAAAGAGAAAAAGCAGCGTGCGGAGAGCTTGCACAGGGTGTTGGCTTTTATATGAGGACAGGAAGTAGGGGGCTGCACCTGCCCCATGTGGGGAGAAGGGATCGGAGGCAGCGCCCCTGTGGTGGGAGGGGGTGGGGGAAGGGAGGAGAAGGGGGAGCTTCGAGGGGCAGACTTTCTGTATAGTTCTGAATAGTTCAGAAGCCCCCACTTCTGTCTTTCAGGGCAAATCTTTCAGCTGCACCCCCTCATTTCTGTGGATGAACTAACATGAATCAGCCATTTTCCCCCTTCCCAGTATTCTACAATTGCTTACAGTGATGCAGTGAATAACCTTACACATAGTGTGTCTTCTAGACAAGCGATAGTAACCTTGCACATAGTGTGTCTTCCATGTGTCCTCCAAGGGCACTAGACATGCACATAGTATACATGTATTCATGCTGGTGAAACACTTACACACATTAAATAACAAATAAATAAATAAACTGGCTCTTGACCTGCTCGACTTTTCATCTTGTTGGTGAGTAAGGAGGCTGCAACTCGGAGT